GTAGTGATGGTCCAGAGGGTGTAGCTTCCAATCCAGTTGAGTTCCAGTGACGAGACTTGGGAGAGACCACGTGCAATAAATAAGATCATCAATTGCATTTTTGGCTTGCCCACAATTTACCATGGAGGAACGCCTCGACATGAGTTATGATTAAAACTCTTCAACAAAACCAAAGAATCTGGACTCTCTTTGATCAAAAAAAATCAACTTTGTGACGCGATAGTTCAGTCTACTACATGGGAGATCCGACGAAACGATGGCTGCCAATCAATTCACTCAATAAAATGCACTAGGGTTGTTGCATCGAAACCTGGGCAGAACTATGTTGTCTGTCAAGAATGCCTTGAAATCCGGAAAGACACATCTCTCTTGACTGCAATAAACACACCCTACGCAACCGGTACTGTCAGCCACAGAGTACATGTCACAGTACCTTTCATGTACCAAGTAACTGCAACACCTGTACTTATGTACATAAGTACTTATCCATAATGTTGATTACCTTTACCTCTTGTTATCTTAACATTATTATTAACTTATCTTATTTATCTTACATTTATCTTATCTGTTAATTACTTATCTATTTAAATACATACCTGTGTTCTACATAAGTAATTATCACTTACCTTTCACTCCCTTGTCCGTGAAATACCTGTACCACAAGTTATCCCTCTGCTACAGTATTTTCACGGTCAAATATTATTACAAATAAATATGTACATGTATTAAATAGTAAGTATTAAGTGTCAATAGAATTAATACATTCAATACATGCACAGATCACAATTATGACTACATTATTAGAGGATCTGTTAAGTACACATCAAGAGCAACTAGTACATTGATCAACTAGTACACAATTATGATGTCACTTACAGATCATGACAAATAATGATCAGTCACTCAATTGATGTGCTCATTCTCCTGGCCAAAGCTCCCTTGATTCTGAGCGCTCATTCTTTCCCCCCTTCAGTATTCTGGAACTTATAATCCGTGCCACTTCCACTGATTAATCCCCAGAATATTCAGACACCAGTTAAACCAGTTAACATTTATATTGATACAGTACCCGTAACCAACATAAATCTTGTCTACATTTATTGTTCTTAAGCTTCAGTACTCTTACTCAACTTATCCACAGTATTCATAGCCTTGCTGAATATTCCCATCAACAATACCTGTTAATCTTCAACTAATTTTGTTAAAGCTTAATAAGTATTGTTAGCCCATTCCCTTTGGGGAATAACCAAATCAATCCCAGGTGAGTCTTAGTACCCTGGATGCCTATTAATACCTTGTATTGATCCGGATGCGCTGTTGATAGCAAGCCTCTCAGTAAAGACCATACTGATAGAGTGAAACCTCCTCTTTACAGGACTGGTATTAATCACCCACTACCTAACACTCACCACGCTCAAAAACTTCAGTCAACTCATAGTAACAACCTTTTTACTATTAAATACTCAGGTTAGTTACCCAGAGGCTGACAATTGGGGGTCTGGCCTAATTGGAATTCCGTGACTAACATATCTCCGTGCTTCTTTTTACCTTTTGTCCCCAAAACATTTACTACTAACAATGGCCTTCTGAAGAACAAATGCCGGAAGTTTTGCCATTTATTAGACAAATAGATAGTACAATTGCAGAAGAAGCTAGTAGATATTACCACAACCACCCGGATAACATTACAGTTATTGAAAGAGTAGAAAAAGTGAAAGTTACAGAAGCAGAAGATAGATTCTGGAACTACATAGAAACTAAGCGCTACCATTGTACCCTTCATTCTACCTATTCCCCTGAATACATCCTCATAAATCTTGTAGAAGAAGACGAGTCTATCATAGAAAAAACAGTAGAAACAAACAGGAATAACTTCTTTACAGCGTTAGAAGAAACCCCTAAATATAGAACTCTTCCTACTAACATCTTGTCTAGAACTGTCCGCTACTACACTCTTCCACCTTTCACTGCTTGTTCTCCGCCTCAACCCAACTCTATAATCATAGATCTCACGGATTTAGAATAAATTAAGCTTGTTTTTATCTCATCTCATCTCATTTCCTTAGTATCAGAAATAAAAACACCAAAAAACACAAAAATAAAATTCTTGCGCTATCTGTTTCACTCATCTCGTGCCACAAAAAATCACAAAAATATTTCATTATATTTCCATTTGATTCATCCACACAGAAAAAATTGAAAACCCTTAAAAAATACGTCCGTGTCCCTTCAAAAAGTCTTATTTTTTCAGTCTAAGTCACTTTACACTATCACGGAGAGAGAACCGTAACAGATACAGACATTCTGAGTCGACCATTCGATCCGCCGTACCCTGTTTACACTACTAGGTTTTTTTCCTGAGCCTTGAAAGTCTACCATTCCTACGGCGTGAGCGGATCTAGTCTCATTTACCCATCATCTCGAGGGATTAGTACCTGGTCGAAGCCTAATACACCTGGTCGAAGTCTAAAAATAGAGTTATCTCACGTGTACATAAGGTTCTGCAGGCCGTATTACACAGTTACAACTCAATACACCCCGGATTTGCCAGGATCTGCAAGGATCTACATACATACAGATCTTCCGTACTACCACTCCCGCCTAGTACATCACCCCTCCTACTAAAATCGTCGAAAGTGATCTTTCCTGATCTTTGAGAGAGTGTAGCTCCTTCATTATTTGAGCTACATCGACAAACAAGATACAGAACTCATCGCCTTTATAAGACGTATCCAGCGCCACCTTCCTTTCCATCCTCACTCAACTCCTTCACCCAGTTTCAGTAGCAAACACCGACCTCTCAAGTTTTCGACCAGAAGTACCTTGAAATATTTCATTCTGAAAAGTTGAGCGTGTTCCTTAGCTTCTGAACTTATCTCTCGAACAAAAAATTTCTGAAAAAGCTCAAAAATTGGTTGTGTAACAGTGTCCGCCGTCAACAGCACCCTTAGCGCTAACATCCAAAACTTGGAAGTACACGACAAAAACACTGCGCCAAGAGACAATAGAGCCCAATCTCCTCAAACAACTAATAGGGAAGCCTCAGTAGTTGCCTCAGATAAATCCTCAGGTAAATTTAACACCTCTACATATTTTTTTATTATCAATTTTCACCGGGTTAAATTTTCCTACTAAGACCTGTTTTCTTTTACCATGTCTCCACCTTCTCTTAGACTTAGAGGTTATAATGGAAGGACCAGAGACGCTCCACCATCCCAGAGAGGATTTCCACCAGCGTCAGTTTTACCAAAGAATAAGGATAAAATAATTTACGCGTCGAAAAAGAAACTAACATCTCCTACTAACAGTTCCAAAGGAGGAGAAATTCGAGCGCTATTACTACAGGATGAAGACCAACAAAGAATGGCTGAAGGATGTGCGCAACCGCAGCAGTTACTTGGCCATCAGAGCTCATCTAAAGTATTGCCGGGAGGATTTCCAAGCGATGATAGATCTAAGAGGAATGACGACGACCCTCAAAAGAACCAAGGGTTGGAACCCACTAAACGTGTCGGCGGAGAGTCTCCTTCAACCACGAGAAGCGCCGGACCTTCAAGAAGGATCAATGAGACCCCTGAGTCGCAGAGGGAGGAATACCCATTCAAGACACCCAAGGAATACGGGGAGGAACACTCAATGGCGCAGCCAAATCTACGAAGAGATGGTACGCCTTGGGAGGTCTCTTCAAGGGACTTATCAACACTTGGAGAAAGGCAAAATCAACCGCCAACACCGCTTCATGGAAGAGGAGCCTTAAATACTTCCCCTACACCTGCGCGTGAAAAAATTCCTGATAGTTCTGATAGTGATTCTACTAGTAGGAAATCAAAATTATTGTCTAGTGATTACTCTACGCCTCAAGTCCCCCATGAACATATCCCAATAGAAATTTCTCTACGCAGAGCTGTTAATATGTTTACTGAGAACATGAATTTTTTAGTACAACATACCTTAAGAAATAACAGAAAAATTACCACTGATATGAAGAAATTGTGCCGTAAAATTGAGGGCAGCTGGGATAAAAGAGCTGATGAAGAAGATAATAATTTTACTTACATCAGAGATAAAGTTATGATCATGGAAACTGGTCTTGAATTATTACATAAAGAACTGCCAGAAATGCTTGAGAAATTAGGAGATCAAACCACTCGAGTAATAACCAGAGTAGAAGAAAAATGGGAAGATATACAAAATAATAACAAAGAAATGATCCATAAATTCAATACTATGGAACAATCTTTCCAGAAACTACAAAAAGACACGCTTGAAAAAATCAATTCACAATATAAAAACTTTGAAGATGTTGTAAACAGGATAGAATTAAATAATTTAAATAACAATAAAAATAATTCCGCCTGCATCATCAAATTAGAAAATAAAATTGAAGAATTAATTAAAATTAACCAAGAGCCTCACAGTTGCCAGAATTTAACATCTCAACACACTGTTCACGGCAAAGGAAAGGACATACCACCTCATGTAAATTCATCAATTACCATACCAGATAAAATAAGTACAAATCCTTTCTTTAATTTATCAAACACGCAATCCAGTAATATGAATTTCAGTGACCCTAAAATTAACACCCCAGTTAGATCAATTAACACTGAAGTACACCATTCACACGTAACTGATGACCAGGATAAAACAATTCAAAAATTAATTTTATCAGGAATGCCAAAAGTTAATGAATGGAGTACCTTTTCAGGGAAGGGAGAGTATGATCACTATAAATTCATAGAATGGATTGATAATCTTAAAGAAGATACCCAAGCACCAGATCCACTTATATGTTCTAAATTGAATTCAATTTTAACTGGAGCAGCTAACACATGGTATAATCAGAGGAAGAAAGAAACTCATGGAGTCAAAGATTGGAATTTCTGGAAGAAAGAAATTATAGCTAAATACAGCACACCTGAATGGAAAAGAAAGGTTAGAGAAAATTTCAGAAAGAACAGATTTGACATCAAAGGAGATATTGAACCATCTGAATGGGTTACTACTCAAGTCAATAGATTGAGAGCAATTGAAAGAAATATTGATAATGCTGCTATAAATGATAAATTATTGGCCCAATTGGACGACAAAACTGCTTACAAAATGAGAATTGCCTTAAATAATGATGATGACTTGACCCAATTTATCAATGAACTAGAAAGTATAGCTAACATTAAAAGAAAGAAATACAAAAGAGATAATAAAAGTTCTACTAAAGATTACTCCAAAGATTTCAAGAAAATTAATAAAGACTACACCAGTAGAGACAAAGATAAAGAGAAAGAAAAAGAAGTCACCTGTTATGAATGCGGCAAAAAAGGACATAAATCCACTAAATGCCCTAAACTCAGTAAGAATAAAAAAGATGTCATGATGGTTAAACCCCATGAAGATAACCAACAACCCTTTTCAGACTCTGAAGATAATGATACCAAATCTGAGAGCAGTGATTCTGAATCATCTTCTGAAGAAAATAGTGATAGTACCATAGATGCCATTATTAATGAAGAAAAAATCATTTCTAATATAGAATTACTACCTGAAAAGAGTTTATGTAAGGGTTGAGTCCCTTCACTGGAGCTGAAGGTGGATGAGCGGAGGCGCGGGCACACAGAAGGATGTTCTAGGACCAAACTGGGGGGGACTTTGGATTGCAGGGCTGGCTCAGAGAGATGGGAGGACAATTCTCTCAGTACAATCTAGAGAAAGAGAGAGAACAAGAAGAAAAGGGAAATAGAGCTTACCTGGCTCAGAGAGATGGGAGGACAATTCTCTGCAGAGCCAAGAATGTGAAAAGGAAAAATGAAGACTAAGGAGGGGGTGTGACATGTGAGTGAAGGCTTTGTGAACCCAGCCAGAGGAGGGGTTTACAGTCTCCCCTCCTATAAAAAAATTGAAGAAGGAGAAAAGAAATAAAACAAAACAAAATTCATAAAAAAAAGGAAGAAAAAGGAAGCAGGGATGAAAAAAAAGGAGAGATAAAATCCAGAACTCGAATTAGGCGCGTCCAGGATGACCGGCGATAGCATCCGCTAGGTTGGCCTGTTCGGCCTGCTCAATCTCGTTTGCTAGGAGTTGTCTGTCAAGATCTTCGAGTGCCGCCACAGCGGCCGGTTCCATACTAGGGTAGCAACCTTCGTCGTCAAAGTATGTATCCCAACGGCTGTCCTCTCGCATCGCCGCGTCTAGTTGTAGCGCAGAGACTTGGGCTTCTAGGGGTGTGACATCTGTAACGCCTGCGACGCTTGCGGCACGGGTTGAAGGTCTCCCCGCGGGAGGTTGAGTGGGTTTTCCTGGGGTGGACGATGGGCCGGACGGGCTACTCCAAGCGCGCGGGGCTGAGTAGTCGACCGGTTT